CTTTATAAACTAAGAGTATCTTAACAATTTAATTAATTTAGAAAGTTTCATTTAGATTTCTATTTTAATAATTTTGGCTGTCAAAAAAAGTGGGGGGGCTAAAGCCCCCCCCGTCTCCGCGGTCCCTGTTACACTACAACAATCTAGTCCAAAGCTAGGCCTTGGCCAGGCTTGGCTTGTGGCGTAAACATGGCTATGCATGGTCACCTAGTTTTCATAATGTCATACATTTATGACCCTGCAGCTGTACATTACACGACAGAAGAATATCAAAACCTGGCCCTGACTGGAAATAAGACTTGTAACATAGGCATATTAAAAAGGTGAATGCTGTTCTTAGGGTTTGTAATCCAAGTGAGTATATATATATATATATATATATATATATATATATATATATATATATATATATATATATATATATATATATATACATTTTAAGACCTGACCAGGAACGACTGCGAAAAATACCTATATATACATGAACTTACGGTTACAGCTCAACAGCTGACCTCTGTAGCTCAGTTGGTTAGAGCGCTGCACCGGAATCGCAGGGCAGTAGGTTCAATTCCTACCAGAGGACCTTGTGCTGCATTTTTCGCAGTGGTTCCTGGTCAGGTCTTAAAATGTATATACACACTTGGATTACAAACCCTAAGAACAGCATTCAAATATTAATATTAAAAAGGTCAGCCTAACCTGACCACCACAATTGCAATTACACTGACGAAAAACTACTAGGAAACATTCCCTAGTAGTCTTCGATGACTACAATTAACACTTCGGCAAATTCCACGTAAAATACCAGATAAAAAAACTAGAACAGTTTGCCTGTGTTTTCGCATTATAAACGGGAAAGTGGATAACAGCTTTTATATATCTTGAAACATTGTATGTATAAAAAATATTAGCACTGTAAATGGACTCACCTTAGCTTTAACCGTGTAAATACCATAAGGAATACATATAGAGTACATAATAAATTATTACATTTATCCATAC